GATGGGCTGTGTAGCGGGTATGTCCAGCGCTGACAGTGAGCATGCGCAGGGGGCCCGCTTACTGAGGGCAGAGGAGACACTGCATGGGATGGGCTTTGTAGCGGGCATGTCCAGCGCTGACAGTGAGCATGCGCAGGGGGCCCGCTTACTGAAGGCAGAGGAGACACTGCATGGGATGGGGTGTGTGTAGCGGGTATGTCCAGCGCTGACAGTGAGCATGTGCAAGGGGGCCCGCTTACTGAGGGCAGAGGTAGGGGGTTTGCCGTGGGGCGGCTGAGGTGGTGAGGTAGCGCAGCCTGGCTGTGGTGGGAAGTGAGTGCTCATCCCACCAGGGCTGGAGGGACGAAAGGAAGAGGCACTGGGGGCCCTGCTCAGGGGAGAGAAGGCACAGCTGCTGCCCATGGTGGAGAAAGGAGCCAGCCTCCAGCTTCTGAGTCCTGCCCACCAGCCTCCATCAGTGTGTCTCCCTGCCTGAGGCCAGGGATGCCCGAGTGCTGCCCACTGCCCCACCCCTGCTGGAAAGGAGGGGTCTGAGAAGCCAGGCGCAGGCCTGACTGTGGCTGTCGGGATAAAGGTAGGTGTGTGTGCACAGTGTATACACAGACATGCATGTGCATGCTCAAGAGTGAGCTTGTGTGAGCCTGTGCTGGCTGTGCACGTGGCCTGTATGTTCTGTACCTTGTCTCGCCAGATCATGGGCAGCTTGCAGAGAATAGTACTAATAATCAAGCTTAGCATTATTGGATTTTCACCACATGCCTGGTGCATTGCCTTTATCAGTGTGCGCTTGTTTAACGTCTCACACAGCCTTACGGGGTAATTACTGCCACTGCAGTCCTCAGATGGGAAGACTGGCAGCGAGAGTGTGGGTAACTTGCCCAAGGTCACACAGCATAGTAGCTGGGGTTGGCTTCCAAGCCTGAACCCCATCCAATACTTGCCAGTCCTGGCTGGGTGCCAGGCAGAACTTGGGCACCTGGACAGCCAGAGCCTTCCTCTGCTCTACCGAGGGGATCCACAGCGTTTCCCCTCGCTGCCTCCCCAGAAGGTAAGCCCTAGCATCCGTGGCTACAGCGTATCCTCTCCACACCACTGACGCCAGAAGCAGCAGGCCCGAGCCAGGCTTTGTGGATGGGGCCGTGAGCCCGGGATGGGACAGACAGAACAGGCCGGTCGTGCCCCCGCCGCTTGGCCAGCCCAGCTGCAGGTGTGGCCGTGGACATTCAGAGCCAGCACGGAACCCAGGGCACAGGGCACCCACTGCGGCAGCAGGCATGTCACCAGGAGCCACCTCCAGCGGGACACACGGAAAGCCTTGAGTGTGTAGACCCCTGTGGTCCCACTGTGTGCTGCTTCCAGAAGGCCTACAGTGCATGAAGCCAGTTGGCCGAATAAAGGCAGCAAGTGCTGCCACATGCATAACGGGCGTGAGCGTGAGGACGCGGGGTCCCACCCAGGACCCACTCAAACTGGACACGAGCCCTGCGGGCCACCGCAGCCAGAACCTCTGAGCCTTTCCTCAAGGGACAGCCAGAGGCCATGGCCTCGGGTTGTGGCAGTGGTTGTGGTCATGTGTGTGCCCCGGTCTCCGGTCTCCGGAGAACCTGCTGCTGGATGTTACTGACAGCCTACCCCCTATACCCGAGTCCTCCCTCCAGGAAGGGCCTGGCCTGCCAAGAGCCCCCAGCAAAACCAGGCCCTGTGGCTGGCACTGGGTGGGCATACAGGCTGTTTGCAGTCCCCAGCCTGGAGGGAATGGGGGGGGTGTGGCTGGCTCACTCCAGGATCTGGAGCCTGACACTACCACAACCCAGCTTTGCCCTCTCCCTCACTGTCCTCCTTGAGCGGAGTTGGCAATCCCAGGGCCCTGATCAGGGTCACACAGCCTCCTCCCAGCCCCGGCGCAGGAGCCAGTGTGCTGACGTTGTCATTGTGTCCTAGGCTATCGGGGCAAGGGTGGTACCATGTCCACCTTCTCTTGGTTCTGGAGGTCTGTTTTGAGGTGCGTAGGGGAGGGGGGTTGTCAGGAGCTCAGAGCCTTGGTGACACTCAGCATGGAGGCTGGAGGGCCGAGCCCGGCCCGCCAGGTGAGAGGGCGGCGTAGCAGCGGGTGTTCAGGACGACAGGAAGATGCTGGAGGACACGAATGCCAAGAGTGGACGAGCCGTCGGGACGGGGCAAGCCGAGGCATGGGTGCCAGGGGTGTCTGCGTGCGCTCTGCCTAAGGAAGGAGGCGTGAACCCCTTCTTTGGATTAAAAAATAAACTGTGAGAAAAGCCAGTCCACACTGTGCTTTTCTCCGGGAACGGGGATGGATATGTTTAGAACCAACTCTTTTTCATTGGGCCAAACTAAGCAGAACAAAGAGAAAACGCACAAAACCCCAAATGGCTCTTCAATGTGAAGGGAGCTCCTGGTTTTCTCCAGCCACAGGTCAGAGCGTGGAGGGCCCGGCCATCCTCCCTTTCACCCTTCTGGGCCCTGAAGTCTCTGCCACCTGACCCCTCACAGAGCCTCAGTCTCCTAAATCCAGGTGTTTACCCTGTCTGCTAAGCAGGTGAGGCAAGGTCTGCAGGGGCAAGGAGCACCAGCAGCTGCTCGCAGCCACTGGCATCAAAGCAGCTGGAGGGCCTCCCTCCTTCATGGGCTGTGCGCCCTCA